AGAGTTAGAGAAAAGAGACCAGAAAAGAAATGAAATGACCATGAAAGAAAACAATACCACTGAAATTGAGTTCAAAAGTAAGGAAAAGGCTACTGCCAGAAAGATCCTTGGCTGCCTTACATTACTGTTCAGTTCTACCAATAAAAGCAGTATGGGGGAACTCCAACAGTTCTGTCTCCATACTCATGGTATGGAATCTAAGGGAACAAATTAATCAGATATGGATCTTTATTGAAGGGAAGTTCACAATATGATGAAAGACGTGGATGGAAATCAAATTCAGGAGTAAAAGCTAGAGACTAGATATTCAGACTGATGCCTTATTTGTGACTTGTATGTATAATTACTTACCACAAAAAGACTAATCAAATCCAAATAATGCAGTATATTTTAAAAGCAAAAAATACAAAAAGCCAAACACATTGGGCAAATAACTGACAATACAATTGTACCAGTACTATTGGAACTATAGTATATTGCCTTATCTGATTTTTCAAGGAACTGCAACATTAACAATTACAGTCAAAATTCTGTATATACCAGTTGTCTAATAAATTATTTCCTTTGAAAAACTATCAGTTTTGTGACAGAATAGAATCAAATGCTACTTCAAGTCAATCCTGCCTTGGATAAAGAATGCTGCAGCCTGCTCATATTTCTGGGATTAATCTTGGTAGCCAAAAATGGTCTGTTGATAAATAAGACAGTGAACAATTAAAAAATAATTTTTTTTTTTAGCAGATAGGGGAGTCAGATCCTCAAGTGACAAAATGCCACAGCTTGAATGAAGCCAGTGGCAGCATGCCACTCTTCCCTTGGGATATAGCTCCTGAGATTTTCCTAAAATAATGACAGTTGCTAATTCAAGATAATCCGACACTTACTTTAAGAAATTTGGAAAACCAACACTGAAAAGCTATTTTCCATTCTGTACAATGATTCAAGCTGTCATTTGTAAACATAAAAAAAAAAAAATAATAAAAAAAAAATAAAAAAGTGCTTGGACACTTACCAACTGTATTTCCAGGTACAAATTTTACAGACGAACTTATTTTATTTTCTTCGGAGAGGTCGGCTGGTTTCACAAGTAGTGGACTAGTAGGATTAGTATGATCTAGATGGAAAAATATAGTTGCATGATTAACAGAGATCAGGGTTTTCTGCTTCCCACAGAAAAAAAAAGAGAAAAACATGTATTTCCCCCTTCACCAGAGGAAACCACGGATTTCTCATGTTAGCAGAGAAACCCATGGATTTCCAGTTCTACAAAGAGCTCTCTGTAGGCTGGCAGAGTTCAAGCCTGCAAGGGGCTGGGAGGGACCGGGAGGAGGGTGGTCAAGCAGGGGGCACCATGTGCATGTATATGCACATGGCTGCCACACAGCCTGGAGAGCAGCTCCCACAGGTAAGTGTGGGGGGGAAGAGAATTGAGGCTCCCATAGGAAGGGAGGGAGTTGGTCAGGGCTGGGGCTGCTGCCCAGCCGGGGGGTGCATGGGGCCCAGGGCTACAATGCATGGCCACAGGGCCCTGGTGGAGTGGAACAGGGCCATGGGCAGCTCGTCGGGGGGGGGAGGGGAAACACAGACAGGCTCCCTGCTGATGCATGCACTCCCAGGGGGCGGAGGGGAACTTGTGCCCCCAACATTGTGTGCGGGGCAGAGGTGGGCTGCTCACTAGTGTTCTCTGCCCTCTGAAAGGGCACAGCAGGGCCACACAGGAAAGCTGCTTGCCGCTGCAAGCTCTGTGCTGCCCTAGTGACATGTGCCCTGTGTGTGCGGCAGCAGTGCAGGGTTACGCCCCTGCCATCAAGCCATTGATTACTACTCTGAGCCCAATGCTCCAGCCACTTTTCTATCCATGTAAGCAGTCCATTCATCCAGACTGTACTTCCTTAGCTTGTCTGCGAGAACACTGTGGGAGACCATATCAAAACCCTTGGTAAAAATCAAGGTACATCACATCCACTCGTCTCCCTGTATGCAGAGCCAGTCATCTCATCAGAGAAGGCAATCAGGTTGGTCAGGCATGACTGGCCCCTGGTGAAGCCATGTTGACTGCTCCTAATCACTTTTTTTCTCTTCCAAGTGCTTAGAAATTGATTCCTTGAGGATCTGTTCCATGATTTTTCCAGGGACTGAGGTGAGGCTGACTGGTCTGTAGTTCCCTGGATCCTCCTTTTTCCTTTTCTTAAATATTGGGCACTATGTTTGCCCTTTTCCAATCATCTGGGACCTCTCCTGATCAACACGAGTTTTCAAAGATGATGGCCAATGGCTCTGCAGTCACATCAGGCAACTCCCTCAGCACCCTCGGGTGCATCCCATCTGGCCCCATGGACCTTTACATGTCCAGCTTTTCTAAGCAGTCTCTAACATGTTCTTTCAGTGCTGAGGGCTGCTCACCTCCTCCCCAAACTGTGTTGCCCAGTGAAGGAGTCTGGGAGCTGACCTTGCCTCTGAAGACTGAGGTGAAGTGCTTCAGAACTGCAGTGCATCAGCTGCAGACAGAGTACAGTCCCCATTCTGGAATGCTTCAAAACTGTCACAAGAGCGTGCAGTGGCATGCTCTCCAGGCAGAGGGTACAATACAGGGCCCCTCAGTTCTGAGGCTTCACTTTCTACCCTCCTCCTTGGGGGAGGGAGGAGGAAGGGAGAGCAGATGAACAGCTTTAAAAATGCTTCCAAATAGTTGCTCTTTGTTCATGATTATTTTCAAAAGCTTTGGCCATTTCTGGAGAACTTCAGAAGGCTCACCCAAACGCATCTGAAATGTTTCAAGTGTTATGTCCATCCAAGGCCCTAAAAAATCCTTTTCGGATTCCAGTCAGCTACAAGTGGGACATGCTCTTGGCTCCTGCTGCTGTCCAAAAATCTCCATAAAATCTGCACGCTATAGTATTCTTCTCTGAACAGGGAAAGTTAGGGGCTATGCAGTAATGAGATTCTTGAGAAAGGCTTAGCAACCATTCAAGAAAGGCTAGCAGTTTTCAAGTGGGAGAACTGATAATATATGATAGTAAGGGCCCCTATAGACACTGAGGTAAAGGTGTGATAGGATAGTATCTACTGGGTGATCCACATAATCACATGGTAGGAAGTCTGACTGTGAGATCCAGCATCAGATCCTAATTGCATTTTATTGCAAGTGTAGAGGGAGCACCAGGATTACGACTCCAGGGTCCTCTTGTACCATTTCCCCACTGTGCAAATGGGCGACTCATCAGCTGACAGGACTCCCAGCTGCTGCAGCCTGTGGGATGGTGCCAGGGTTGGGAGTCTCCTCAGTTGTGGTAGTTCCAGCTGTCACAGTACATGATCCACTTCAGTGGATGGGAGCCCCATCAGCTGACTGGGTTCCCAGTGGCAGGGGGCACAGCTGTGCTCCACATGCAAATTAAAGCTGGTTATTATACTATAAAGCTATAGTTATTATATTATTACACATTTTGCAGCAATAACTTTATAGCTGGTTGGACCTTATAAGACGTGATAGTTAATTTCCACATGTAGCCAGTCTAAATGAATTGTGCAATTAACCTTGTAATTGCATGATACATGTAATGTGTAAAGGGAACCTAGCTGACTAAATGTCTCCCCCACTAGGTTTTGCTAATGAAAAAGGTCATTGAACGTTACTAGAGTTCTCTTTCAAACCTCCCCAAGCACCTCCAGAATGCAACAAGTGAATCTGGAAAAAGTTCTCCCCTCTCTAACCAAGCCTCCATGAAGACCTTTCCAAACTATTCCAAACACCCTTGTCCCCAAGACGAAGACGTCTTCTGAACAAAAAGTTATTTCTCTACCTCAGTGTGCATCTGAATGCTTCTCTAACGCACAAAGTTCTCTACCACCTGGAATAGCTTATGATGGTTGGAATACCAGATACTTTTGTCTAATTTCAAGAAAAAGAGTCACAATTTTTATAGAGAAACAGACTCTGAAGCAGTATCCTGTTAGTTTTATATAAGTGTAATAGCTGCTTTCATAATCAGACTAGAAAGTAACTTACCACTTCCAGTTCTTTTAAGTTCCATTTCCTGCATGTGGATTTTGCTTGGAGTCATCCGTATGGGAACTGGGTGAACAATAGCAGTATCCTAAAGAGGGGAAGGAGGAAGTAATTTTAATTAATTTTTTTAGTGATTCTCCAAAGGTTTGTTAACTGCCTACAACATATTTTGCTAGGCCTACATTCATATGTAAACTTTTCTCCAGTGTCCCCAAGAACTCACATTCTATGATGGTGGACAACAGTCAACCAGTCTCAGAATAACATGTCCGTTACAAATATATTTAGCTATATGCAGTAAAATATTATGCACAGATCCACTGCTTGCAGAATATACTGTTTCTAGCTACCAAATTCCTTCAAATATAGTTATATACCCAACTTTCCTGTTTTTAATTTCTGTAAAAATAAACACTGCTGTTGCCCAAAGCATATGATATATTCATGAATGGTAAGGGTGGTTCATAAACACATTAAAATGCAGCCCACAAACAGATGGTGCATTTTTCCTTAATATCAGAAACATTTCATGGAAGTGTCAATGTGCTCTAGATTTCTGAAGTTTTAAAGATTTAAAATAGTATCGCTTTAGAAATTTAATGAGCTTTCTCCACCAGAAAGTCTACTCCAAAGAGTAAGCTTATACTTCGGAGGTTTTACAACATATACTTCAAGCGACTGTTGTCAGGTATGAAGTCTGAAAAAGTACTGGGCACCAGATTGTGTCACAATTGTATCTATGGCCTTATAGAAAACTATCAGATCCTCTGCTCATATTCTTCCTGACCCCTTCAAAAACAAAATCTGCACCATATAAGTAGTGTTCACAATGTCACTACTGAGAGCCGTGGCAAATAGATATACATATGGAGGGCAGATTATCATTTTAATTTTTTTTTTAACTGCTCTTGGAAACTGCTTAACATGATTTAAACTGTTTAATTAGTCCATTTTTATAAGCCCAGGTACATTTATATCAGTATTTTCTAAAACTTCCCAAATTAATTGATACTGTATATAGTAAATGTAGTCAAAGGTTTTAGGCATGAACGCTTTAAACTTATTTTAGACTTTCTGATCATTAGGTAAAAGACTTTCAAAAAATGATCCTCCAATATTCAAAAACAAAAACAAGGAAAAATATTTTTACAGTCACAGAGAACTGACATCAACATTATTTTGGGAAAGAAAAATGTGTGTGTGTGTGTGTGTGTGTGTATATATATATATATATATATATATTTTTTTTTTTTTGTAGCATGTAGGCAAGGAAATTATATATATATAATTTCCTTGCCTACATGCTACAAAAAAAATGGATGCATTTCATGGTCATAAATTAAGAGCTATAAATCAATGTACTTTCATGAGATGCAATTAGCTGCATATAATATGTTCCATTAATATATTTCAACTGAAGAATGAAGAATAAGTACATAAATAGAAAAGGGATGTGTGTTTACCCTGAAGAGTATAGACAGTTTAACTTGGCTTTTTTCAATGCATTTGATAGATGTGTGTAGACCACTGTCTACCCCCACCCCACATCCTCTTGAGTAAAATGAGTTATGTAGTACCTGGTACAAAAGACCCAATTCTATCTGGGATCTAGAGGTACTGTTGTAATACAAATATCAATCAAATGTTGTTTACTCTGAATACAGGGTGCCTGTACACGAGCGCGGAGGCTGCTCTGACGTGCTGTAATTATAGAGCATTGGAGCAAACTCGATTAATAGTCTGCTGAAGTGTAGTAATTACTGCACTCCAGCAGCCTCCTGCATCTCACGTATCAGCGTCCCCATGCTTCAAAATGGTGGTGGGGGCGCTTGAACTAAAGCTTGTTTGATAAGCTTTTATTCAAGTGCCTCCACCGGTATTTTGAAGCAGGGGTACTTTCATGCATCAGACACTGTGGTGCTTTAACTACGGCAGCTCTCAGAACTGCTCCAAATTAAAGCGCCGCCCCTTCCCACCCCCAGAGCACATGTAAAATTGCCCAAAGAGACCTCACAAGGCTGCAATTTTTTCAATTAGTTATTTAATATGCAAGATTCTTTGACATTAAATACATTTAACAAAGTAAAATGTATAATTCTGTATGTATGTATACATCTTATTGATTAAGATGAATTATGAAGTGCCATATCTTATATTTTATACTAAGATGTATTATAGCTACCTTATGTAATAAAGACAACCCCTGCTTACTGCTATTTCGCTTAGCATTATTTTGGTATAATGCTCGTTTTACATTGATACCCGATTCCACTTAGCGCTCAGCGAGTTTCGTTTTAACGCTCACAGGCATTCTTATGGGAAAAATCAGTTACACTTAACATTATTCCATTTAATGCTTTGTTTTTCAGGAACCAATTAATTGTGCTAAGCAGGGGCTGCTTGTAGATCAACGGTTCCCAATCTGTGGTACAGGTACCACCAGTGTTACGCAGACAACCTGTCAGTCGTACACGTTAACAGATTCATTATAAAGACTTTATATGACAAAAATTTGCTGGTGGCACTTAAGGTTGTATTGTTTTAAAATTAGCGGGGCACAATCTGTCAGAGTTTGAGAACCACTGCTATAGATGAATTTAGATAATTTTAATTTGCTACAAATTAAATCTATAAAAGAAACGACAACACATTTTTAAAGTATTTAAAGTTGCTTCAACAGGTCCTGCAGGCTCTAAGTAAAGCAAACCTGGCAGTGTTTAACTACATAATTGCTATTCACAGCACTTCTTTACAGTCTAATGCTATTGCTAGTATAGTTGTACTTCAAAAGTACTCAAAAATACTATTTCTAGAATAACGTGATGGCAATCTCATAAATATGAACTACCATGTCAATTTTGGAATGTAACAGGAACATAAAGTTTGATAAAGTAGTTCATATAAACTGGGATGGTCAGTTTTACAATTGTGTGCGCATACAACCTGCAATAGACTTGAATAGATATAAGCTAAGGGTCCCATGCTTTATATAATGCAGATACTCAAACAGTTTTAAATGAAATGTAATAATCATGTTGCAAAATGCTCCTTTACAGATTTGACAGGAGCACTGCATCATGTCACAATTGAGAAAAACATCCCCTGTACTCAGATATTAAAAATTAAAGGAAATAAGAAATTCATCTTCTTAACACAAGCAGACAAAATTAATAAGCCTGCCACCATTTCCAACCAAGCAGTCCACAGAATCATGCATAATAGCTAAAAACAATGTATGGAAAAATAAGTGTTAATAAAATTAATTTCAAACAAGCAAGCTAAGTGATTGACTTACAGGATCAGCTGGTGCAATGTTAGAATCAAATTGGGTCAGAGTTTGTGAGCTTGAAGAGCGTTCACTAAATGTCTCCCACTGCTGAACAGACAGAGGAGAGACAAGTCAGCATGATGAGAAAGATGGAGTAAAAGATCACTAGAGAAGATTAAGCATAGTTGTTAAGAGGTTGCACTGGGGTTTGTATCATGGAGTTCGCTTGGAAAAAAAATAACAAACAAAGGAATATTTCACAATTTCAAGCCTGACAGATACGCAACCAAGATTATTAACCTTTTCAGAAGTTCTGATCATGTGTGCACGTGCTATACTGAAAATGTAGGTATGCACACTACTCAGAAACTTTATTTGAGAAATCTATGAGAATCGGAGAATGGTTAAAACATTAAATGGTGTAAAAAGGCAAGTGGTGCCATATCTTGGCATTGTCCATAATATGTATCGATGCATGTGTTTATCATGCTTTATACAAGTGGCAAAAACAAGTGTTTTATTTACAACATTTAGTAAACATGATTCCCCTGAAAAGACAGATGTAAAATGTAACATTAAGCACAGAGTACTCTGATTAAACCCAGCCAGTTCAACTTGCCAGTGCAACCTCTGAGAAATGATTCTCTTATGCATGAGAGCATTTTAACAAGTCTTGAAAAATTATCTTTTAAACAATGCAAAGAATTATTAAGTTCAAACGTATCTGCTTTTTTCACTCAACAGCAAATCAATGTCTCTGATCAGCTGTACAAGATACAAGCCATGCTACATACAATACATAATTGCCAAACAGAGTCCTCATGCTTGAAAAACAAGCTACAGCCACAACTGAAGCAATTAAGAATCAAAATATATAAAGATATGGAATCTGAAGACTAGCTGACTCTTCAAAGAGGCATGTTGAATGTGTTTTGCCTCTTGCAATTAGTAGAATGCTAAGTAAATATTAGTCAGACTTCATTTTAAAACACTAGTTCAGAAAACTTTGGGAATGAAGGATTTTAGTGCTGAGAGGACCTGCCACAGGGACAGAGTGTTAGTATCAGTCATAAAATCAAACATGCTATAAAAAAAATCACTATTAATATTTCCAGAAAGGAAAATAATATGTAAGGAGTTAAGCCAAACTGTCCTCATACATTCTTTTTATGTTGAGCTATTTTCTAAAGGCTCTTATACACAAGGAGCTTGTCTGGGAACAGCTACTCCAAGGGCAGCTCCACATGCACTCATTCCAGAACAAGAGTGTTTTGTTTTCATTTAACCTACTTTGGAAGTAGTTAAGCTAACAAGGCCAAGGTGCTCCAACTCTGGCAGAGGAGTTCCAGAATAGCTCCCAGTCAGATAAATCCTTATACTCCAAATTTTAGATGAGAATATTCAGCTGATGTTTTACAAGAAATTAAAATTCAAAAGCAGCTGCGATATAGCTAAATCATAGTTGCTTTCTCTTACACAGTGTATATCTAAAATACTCATAAGAACTCTTTCTATATACTTGTGCAACAAACCCTAATGTGATAGATTATGTATAGTTCTACTTCTTAGAGGTGTACTACAAAAAGGTGTCTTTCTGGGCCTCATGTTCCTAGTGAGATACAAGCAGGACTCCACAAGCTCAGTTTATTTTTATCACCAGTAGGAGGAAAGCAAATGCTTCCTGCCCCACATTGGAATAATGCTCAAAGTCAACATAACTTGTGGTTTGATGCTTATTTCTTTGACAGTATCATCACTATAGGACTACATATAAATATAAAATAGTTGTTGGATTGTATATCTCATATTGGATCTACTTTAAGAGTTTTATTCCACTTAAAGCAATTTTTAAGGCCAAAGATCTGGAAATATAGGCATGGAACAAATGTTGACACTATAAACAGACTCAATAAGAACTCTGTCATTTACTTAAAGAGAATTGTGAGCCTACCATTTTATGAATTTTTCTAGATGGTGCGCCCTTGGAACTTTTAAAGTTTGCTCTACGATCTATACTCATTATCATTAAAAAATGTTACTTCTTGTAAGAAACCTGAGCTCACAATTACCAACCAGCTTGGAAAGGAACTCTCATGTGCTCCTAGATAATGTTCAATAAGGGGGTGGCAGGCTGCATAAGGTGCCTGCCTTTAAGGGGAGAAGCAGCTGTCTGCAGGTGGGGCCAGACCTGAGTATGGGGTCATCTGACCCAGGAGGAGGACTAGATTTAAGGCAGATACAAGTCCAGGCCCTGAGCAAAACTGGCAGTAAGATCTTGGAGCCTGCTGAAAGAACAACACCATTTCAGCAGGAAGGCTGCAGGTCCAGAAGGTCAGCATGGAGGGTAACACCAACGAAGGTCAACATTGCAAGTTTGAGAATGAACTACAGGCAGTCCTCGACTTAAAACGTTTTGAGTTACAACATTTATGAATTGACACCGTTTCAATTTTATGACATCAGTGTCAACTTTACAACGCTTGGCCCGATGCAACGCCACGCCAGCAAACAAGTTCGCTGCATCGCTCATCTCCCTGGAGAACATCTGTCCAAACTTCCTTGGACACTTTCTTTAAGAAAGCAGACAAGACTCCAAAAAAACCTTCAGCCAAGACTTCTGAGAAGACTCCAGCCAAGAGCACTTCAAAAAGACAAACCAAGAGCCTTTCAAAAAGTCCAGCAAAGTCACCTCAAAGAAGTCCTTCCAAATCAATGACTGCTATTTACAATATAAATACATTAATGTAGCTATATTACTCATCTATAATTGATCAATTACAAAGTTCTGGGGTACTGTTGGTGAAAATAGGGTATTCGGCCTTGGTTCAGGAATCAATCCCCCATTTATAACATGTTTCTTATGAAATAATTGGTTCTGAGTTACCACATTTTGACTTAAGACATGGTTCTCAGGAACCAATTGTGTTGCAAGTCCGAGGACTGCCTGTATAGGGATGGAGGAGTATCCTGGGGACCCAAGGAGGGGTCTGAAGCCAGAGAGAAGGGTTGAAAGCATAGAAACTATTGCGGGGTCCAGGTGAGCCCAGAGAGAGGAGCCAAGTATGTGGGACCTGATAAGGGGTCCAGGGCCCAGAGAAGGAATGAAGATGATCCTGAACAGACCAGGGGCTGAGTTGGGGTCAGGAGGCCTATAGCCCTAGAAGGGTAAGGAATGGGGCTGGAAGGAGCCCGTAACCCAGGAGGGGTGAAGACTGCCAGAACACGATAGCCTGGACATGGGCCCCAAGTATGATCAAAAACTGCTCCCTACTGAGGTTTGTGGTCAGTGGTGGGGCTGCTTGTGGTGGAGTAGCCTTCTGAAAGTGCCACTGGTGGCAAACCCCAGGGAAGGTTGAGTATGGGGTGCTCGAAAAGCCCAGCCCCCACTGCCTTGTGGGTCACCCCTTGGCAGGGGAAGGCCACGGGAGCACACCCTGAGAGAGAAGCACAGAAAGGAGGTTTCTAGTAGTCCTAGGGCCTGAGAGGAGGCTGGGTAGAGGGCACACAGCAGGAGGGCTGGAGAGCCCACAGGTCTAGGGCTACAGTGAGGGGTGGATTGGAGCTCAGGAGAAGGCCTAAGAAGGCTTGAGCCTACAGAAGGGGCACGTTGTTAGTAGAGCAAGTGGATCCATGGGCGAGTGAGAGTTGGCAGCTAGGGATTGACCTATGGAATTTCAACTGGGTCGTGCAGAGCTAGGGCCCAACAAAAGGTCAAGAAGAGACCACTGCAGAGACTGCCAGAGCCTGGAGATCTCAACTGGCCCGAGGCAGGACCAGGGCCTTGGAATGGATAGGTCAAAAGGTCCATGTGTGGCTACAGCCTGAGAGGAAGGGGATCAAGGAGACTGCAGTCCAGTATGACAGTGGTGGTGCCATCTGAGTTGGGGAGGGTCTGAAGAAGAAAGTGAGAACAGGAGCCCTGAAGCTAAGAATGGGCCCAGCAGGGAAGACAGGAGCCTGAGGCTGAGTGTGGGCCCAGCAGGAAGAACAGGAGCCTGAGGCTGAGTGTGGGCCCAGCAGAGAGCTGGAGCCTAGAGCAAGCATGGGACCAGGAGGGCCAGCAAGGGGCCAGGAAAAGTGTGGGACCAGAAGGGTCCAGGGAAAGACCAAAGTGGTCTGGTAGTCCAGAGAGGGACCAGGTGAGAAACTGTGGGGCCTGACAGCCCAGGGAGGGGTTGAGTAAGAAATGAAGGGTCTGAGGGCCGAGGGGTCGGATGAGAGACCAAGTGGCCTGGCAACCCAGAGAGGGGCTGAGTGGTAGACCAAGGGCTCTGGAAGCCCACAGAGTGGTTAAGCGAGACCAAAGGGGGCTGAGGGCCCAGAAAGGGGCTGAGGAAAAGACCAAAAGGACTGAGGCTCAGAGAGGCGTTGTGTGTGTAATGAGAGAACATCAATGAGGATAACATCTGGAAGGCTTGGGGCATGGTGTAGGGGCAAAACAGAGCCACACTATTAGCCTGTGTGTCTTGGACCACAGACAGTTGGTGGTCATTCGATTAAGACCAAGGTAGCCTCCCATATTTTAATGGCAATTAACACTGAGACGTGGCAGGAAAGGAGGGCAGACTGCCTACAAAGCCAGGTAAAAAGTAAATTTTTTTGGTCTCCAGGGGCTTTATGGTCACCCCTGGAGATGGTACCCTGTGACAAAGGGGTCTCAAAAAGGTCTTTCAATTGGTCCACCCAAGATTAGTTCATGACAGCCAAAAAAGCAGTTAAATGAACTTAGTTGGAACTCTACTAAAACATACTCCAGAACTGTTCATAGGGCCATTTTGCAATAGCTGCAAAGCTTGCTTTTTCTACTTGAAATTTCTCCTATAAATAGTGTTTAAGGCCAGGGAAGCTCTAAAAGTCACCTTTAAAAAAAAGCATTAAGATTTCAGGAACTAAGCTGTTACAGAAAAGGCTTTTAATTTTGAATGGAATAAATTTCCTAGTTGGGACAGTAAAACAGAATCCATACCTCATGTCACAGGCTCTGGCCAAAGGTAACTGAGGATACATATGTAGAGGATCGAGGAAACAACTGTACCATTTTGAAGGAAAAAGGACATACTATTCTTGAGCATGCACCAACTGATCTACTGTAACTGTATTATCTGTCCAATACTATCTTGCATTAAGTGAAATTAAACCACAGTAATTTATGCAAATGAAATGCAAGTCATAAATTATTGTGGTTTAGCTTCCATTCATCATGGTAGAAAGCATACAGAAAGTTAGTTAACAGCAAATTCAACTGAGCCATGGAAAGCATCCCCACCTTTTGCAGTGGTATAAACAGTTTCATTTACACTCTGAGCTGAGAATCATATTTCTTTGTGCCAGTACAGCAATTCAGATCAAACTTTTGTATCTCCTAAATTCCTAGACTGAATGGTATATGTAAGCCTCCTTTCCCGAGTGGACAGATAAAGCATTATCTGTCAATAATCTTTTCATGCCACAGTAGAAGATTGCTACTGTCTTGTTTATATGAGAGGAATAAATTCACGGTTTTCACTAAGAGAAAGTCTGACCCAATAACCAATCATACGGCTTTAGCTGCAACTGGCAGTCTGTGACAATACTCCTTTTCTGCTACATAGTGAAAACAAAGGAATGATCTGTGGGACAGAGCAAATTTATCTGTTGCTGTGGTCCAGAAATAGTGACATACTACCTTTCTGCCACCTAGTACCTTTCAGAAATACCTAAGCACTCAGAAAAGATTTCAGATTTTTCAAAACATCAAGCTGTGGGGCAAACATCTCAGAAGCAAGGGAGGTGGGGGAGGGGGAAAGGAATGACACAGACTGAAGAAGACCCCCTCTCACCCCCTAGGCTTGAATAAAGACTAATAGACAGTTCTATACCCTAGGCAAATTGAGACTGCAGCTGCTTGCAGATGTTAACCCCCACCCCCCCACCAACAAAAACCCCCCCACACTTTACTGGAAGTAGCAAAACGTTATTTTGACTTGGCTCTGCAGTGTCTGTATAGTTTGGGTGCTTCGGCAGGGCTTTTTGGCACTTTTATCTCAAGCTGATTCAATCAACTATTAGATAAAAGCGCCAAAAGCCCCACTAAAGTACTCGATTTATATAGATGTCAGGCAAGCCAGGTCCACCTAACGCACTGCCTCTTCTGGTCATGCGCTGGGTTCGGTGCAGGGATGTGTGGATTTTAAAGTGCAGTTTTTTTGTTTTAAATGTCTGCAGGATTATCATGCATGGGGTCCTCTCTCTCCCACAGAAACAGTGTTGTATAGAAACTGTGTAGAAATCTCATTACTCTACCCTGCGTGCAGGGGCAATGCATAGACGGTACACAGGGGTGCACGTGCACCCCGAGAGCACTGGTGCACCCCCTATCCAGCCACGACCCCTGTTTAGTCAGCGGGCAGTGGGGCAGGCGGGAGCACCAGTGTCCCCCCTGCAAGTGCTGGCTGGGGAGCGGGGCCACCAGCAGAAGTGGCTGCACGAGTTCCAGAAGCGGTGCAGCCGCTTTTACACTGAGTGAAATTGGCTGTGTAATTGGCCGTTGGGGACCCTCCCCACCTCTCCAGGCCAGTGGGATCAGCCACCTGGGGGGGGGGGGGGGCACATCCCCCCCCTGACTCAAGAGGCACCAGACACCCATGCTTGCGTGAATGCAGACTGCACAACTAACTAACTGATTAAGACTGCTTTAACATCCTACTGCTTTGTACTTATGAGGCTAAACTTCTGCAGGGCTGCATTTCTTTTATGCTATCACACTTCGTAAACATTTCAATTTTAACATTTCCTATATGCCAGGATTGTCCAACTTCTGAGCAACCGGGGGCCACATGCTGCACAGCTCTTCTCCTTTCCTCCCTCACAAGCTGAGGAAGGGGGAGAGGCCAGGCTGTGTGGGCTGTGCAGGCTGTGCTGCCCTACCCTCAGGGGCAGGTCAGGAAGCAGAAACTGGATGAGGGGGAGACGGCATGGCAGCAAAAGGAACAGTGGGAAGAGCAGAGGCCAGACAAGAGCCTGCGAGCCTCAAGTTAATCCCTTGCAGTCTGCATGTGAACCACTGGTTGCACAGCCCTGCTACAGGCCAAAAAAATTTACAGGCTAACAGTAGTTTAAAGATTTAAGCCATCTTTTATCTTATTGTAGTCTCATACAATAATGAGTATTTTCAATATTTTTCTGTGCCAAATGAAGAAAAATTATATCCTATATCCTGTTTACATCTTGGTAGAATCTATAAGCACCGGCCATGGTCCATAGCCCTGAGTGTTTGGTACTGTACAGACAGCACATTTTTTCCTGACTCACTGAACTTATATGTTACATAGAAACTATTTACAATAGCCTTTAGAATATTTAGCATTGTTTAAAATGTTTGCCATTTTAGCTCAAATCATTTTAACTGTTTTATATCATCACGTGCCCTATGCCGATTGTCAGATCTATGAGAGCAGGTCAGCTAGGGACGTTTAAAACTCATCTTGACAAAAGACTCTTGCTTAAGGGCTTTTAAATGAAAGAACGCAGCTGCGATAAGAAATTCCTACCTTTGGTAGGTTTCAATTTTAGACACATTTTATATGGCTTAAGTGGAGATTTTTTCTATTTAACTGGATGATAAAACAGAGTGTAAGTGATGTACAATATAAGAACAATTAACAAAGATTAGTCAGTAATTGGCTCTGATTTCAAAAATTAATCTGTAATAGCCACCATTATTCTTCAGTGGTAACATATTTCCACTCTATTTCTAGTGAACTGTGGTTTATTAAAAATATTATAAATCTTGCATAATATAGATGAAATTCTAGAGAAAGACTAATGAATTTACTTTGCAGTTTTCATTCTTTACATTTTGAAATATGGATACACAGTTCAGTTACTGGACGTTGGCAATTAAATACTTCTAAAATAAAAAGAAAGCTTTTGCTAACCTCACTGCTCTGATTCAGTTCTGGCCAGGTCTGGTTTAGGGATGGCATTGATGGAGACTTGCTTGGAGGTGCTTCTGCTGGAGAGCTGGAGTAACCTACCTCACCAGCTTGATCCCCAACTTCTGAAACGACAGGAACCACTATAAACCAAAATAATGTATTTCATTAATCTTGCTGTTTGACAAACTGCTGATGCCTCATGGAATATTTAGTTATCCTTCACTCTGTAGGTGACTTGTCCAAGTAAACAAGAAATAATGGCCAAGAGAAAATTCTGAAGAGTTTTTCACTCTGGAACCCCAGGCTTTAACTATTAAATAACACTGTCTCAGAATCCTCTTGAAAAACTAGGCCTTGAATCAGGTTATCTTGCCTCTGCCTTCTGTTTAATATCACAAAAATAAAAATACACATTATTTTAATACAAATGCTATTAATATTAATAATATTAATTAATATTTTTTCAGATGGATTTATTAAGCATCAGCTGCTGTAACTTATTTGATCTTAAGTTTTAGGGTTTCTCTTAATATTACACTGTTAAGCACACAGCAACATCAGAGTAAGTTTAAACGTAAAAATGGTTTCCTGATGATACTGTATTTACTTGTACACCATACACACCTTACTCTCCCAGATTAGCCTTCCATGAACGTTTTAAGCAAGGAAATTGATTTCCATGCCAGAAGGGAGAGAGGAGGGCTCCAGAATGGCCGCTAGGGACTGTTCTGGGTACCCTGAGAGTCCATTCATCAGCATCATCCACTCTAGCTATAGCTAGAGTGTTTCACCCTCTTACAGCTACTGCTAAATTTGCAACAGCTTTTGGAAGAGTGACACTGAACTGGGAACAATCAACCACGGTGCACTCATGCTGAGTCGGTTAGGAATCTAGAAGAAACTTTTCTTCTTCATTTTGCCTTCCCAAAACAAGGCATATGTCTTATTTGGGGGCTGTATGGTATGTGAGTAAATATGGCATAAGAAAGCAAGCGTCACTTGGTAAAGGACATTATAATTCTTATGTGGAGTTCATTTCTCATAAGGTAGGTAAAGGCTACATTTCTTAACTTGTATCAGTATTCGCTGAAAACAAACCTAGCTTGCAGTATTAACAGAAACAATCTTAACAGAATGGGTTTAATGCAACAGATATTGTGAATTTTGAAATTAAAATGTACTATACAAATTATAATCTGAAAATAAAGATACTGAAATATAAATGATATATGATGCGTCTTTGAACCACAAGACAGCTCCCTGGTTCAGCCACAATACAGAGGGTAAGATTTCATACAGATGACTCTTTGTATACAGGTCTACATAAGTTTTTGTTATAATGATGCCAGTCATGTGTGTAAAGAGGTGTGATCCCTAAGCAATATACTGTGTCAGCATGAAAATTTAGTATAAAAATGTTATATTATCAAGATCATTTTTACCAGCCTATCTTGTTTTACTTTGCCAGTGCTGCTGTGTCTACGCAAGAAGTCTACTAGTGGAAATATACTAGTATTTCCAGGGGTGGTACATGTATTTATTGTTACTGTATGCCACCAAATAAAACATGAAACTTGTTTTTGGAAGGCAAAATTTGGAGGGGAAAAAAAAAAAAACTGTTTCAGAGTTAAATGGTCAGAGCTCGCTGACTGTGTGACAGAACAAGACCTCCTGAAAACACCCAGTCTGGGTGAGGCAGCAGGATCTTCCTGGTGTGGCAGAACAGCAACAAGGCTAGGCCCCAGCCCCTTGCAAGGGCAGTGACAAGATCTGCTTCTTTTCTCCAACTGCAGCCCACAGTGCTGTGTCATTCAGCCCTCAGAGCTCCTCACAGGTCTGGAAGTCTGGTGGTGGGAGAGCACTGGTACCACTCCCCCCGTGCCAAAATTTCTATACCCATGGAGAGCCCTAGGCCCCACACCCTAGATCAAGTGCCGGATCCCAGTGCACAGAACTGGGCAAAGGTGGTGTTTGGGCCAGGGCTGATCAGTAGCTAA